GCTGGCTTTCAGCTGAAAATAAACAAATATCTATTGGATCTCTCTGTCTCTGGCTGATTGATTAATGTGTTATAGACAGGCAGAAATTAAGGAATTTGTCCTGTGGACCCTTTGTTGATTAATCTTGGGAGTCTTTAGAATCATAATAAGAACAATATTAAAACCACAAAGAAAAGACACAGTTCTTCCTTTAAATATCCCCTTGGCCTTGGAATGATGATGACTACCTGGGGGACTCCTTTTCTGCCGCTCTTTCAGAACAGCCAGAGCCCAACATCAGAGTTTCCCTAATAAAATGGGAGGCCATGTGCACCCTCCGGAATCCCCAAAGTGCCCCTTGCTGTTGTTGGGCGGGGGTGGCCCAAGCATCTTCACCCCACCCTCCAGAAGAAAACAATTTTGGCTGCAGGGGCTGAGCACTACTTAGGCCTTATTCTGTAGGGCATTTACGTTTCTCCTGTAACTTTGATGTCTCACTGCAGGAAGACCCCCCCCCAAATGTTCTGCGTGGGCTTCTTGTAGCCCCGCTGCTTGCCTTATTTCCCCATCATGGGCTACCTGATTGACCAGCCGTTTGTCCGGTATGACAGCGACACCAGGAGGGACCTGCCCCCCGTGCGTCCTGGATCCAGAAAGTGGAACAAGAGGACCCCCAGGATTAGGACTGATAAAACACATCTCTCCTGGAGCTGGGAGTTTTACTTCTGGGTGACCCTTTGGAGCCACTTCAACCACAGGTGGGGTGAGTGGAGGAGAAGATTGTGTGTCTGGAGGGCAGGCTGTGTCAGCCAGCATAGCTGCCTGACTACAAACCCCAGAATCCCCAAAGAGTGATGGTATCAAAAAGTATTACCCACTTGTGAATTTTACATCTGTTTTTCCCCCTTGATGAACACAGCTGTTCCTTGTTTTTATATCCGCTAGGAGTGACCCAGAGAGTTGTTTGTTGAGTTGTCAAAATATATGATTCAACAGACAGAAATAAAATAAAATAAAAGGGAATCTTAGTGGGCTTTGGGTGTGCTTGTGCTAACTACCAGACAAGGCCATAAATAGACATCAAAAATTAAAACAGAAATGGGTTTTGGAACATTGTGTGAGTCCCTTCTACTTCTTCTACAACATGGCTGGCTTTCTGCAACTTGGCCCCCTCTGTATGTGTTGGATCACAACTCCCATTCTCCTCACCCACTGAAATAGCCATCTCACACGGCTGGTCACGAGGCAACAGATCAAAGAGGTGCTGAGAGGCAACTTTTATATACAGTGGTGCCTTGCATTACAACTTTAATTCAGTCCACAAAAATCGGTGCAGAACGAAAACGTTTCAATGTGAAATAAAAAAGTCCATAGATACGCATTAAAATGTGATTAATGCGTTCCTAGGGGCTTAAAACTCACCGTTCAGGGAAGATCCTCCATAGCGTGGCCATTTCTGGTGCCTCTTAAGCGAGGAATCCATCCCAGAAAAGAGGGGGTGGCCATTTTGTTTACCTGGCGACCATTTCGAAACTGCCGATCAGCTGTTTTAAAATCGTCGCTTTGCGATGCTAGGTTCTCGAAGCAGGTAACCAATCATCACAAAGGGAAATTCCCCCATAGGGAACAAAAAAATGTGTCGCAAAGCGATTTCGTTGCTTAACGGAGCAATCGCTATGTGAGGCACCACATCTAATGTCTACTGCATGTAGAAGGTCCGCTTCTGAAAGCACAGAATATGGTGTGGGTTCACCAAAACAGAAAAAAGCCACCTAGAGCCTGCGTGGTAATTAGGAACATCTTCTGGGATGCTCAAATCCGACAGAGCCTCAGATTTTAAAAAGCTGAAAACCCCACATAGGTCAACCCCAATTGATTCAGGAAATCCACGGCTGAAATATTGGATTAGAAATTCTGGTGGTCCCAAACATTCTCTAAAATGCAGAGGAAAGATGCCCACACAGTTCCAGTGTCTATGCACAAAATAGGCAGCTGTTAAAACAAAGGATATCTGGGAAGAGAGAGGGGGTATTGAAAAGATAAGCCAAAGCATCCACATTACTCTCTGATGTTTGGAACAACTGATAGCTGAGGAATACATAATGTATAATAATGTATACATTACTGAAACAGCGACGTCTACTGTGGCCTGGGCATGTTGTGAGAGTGGCTGATAGTTGGATTCCAAAAGATCTCCTGTATGGGAATTAGTGCAAGGAAAGTGCCCCAGAGCGAGACCACAGCTGCGATACATGGAGAAATGCAAGCGGGATCTAAAAGCCTTAGGAATGGACCTCAACAGATCGGAAACCTTGACATCTTAGCGTTCAGCCTGGAGGCAGGTGGTGCATCACGGCCTCTCCCAATTTGAAGAGACACTTGTTCAGCAAGCTGAGGCAAAGAAGCAGTCCCGAAACCAGCAAAATCAAGGAACTGGGCAGGGGACGGTGTAGCGTTCAGCCCTGCCCTCACCTGTCCAGCACAGCTGAGCAGTGGAAAAGCAGCCAATGAGGAGGGAGGGAGGGAGGGAGGGAGGGAGATTATCTGGTTTCACACTAGAATCTACCCCTGCAGGAATAAATGTCACCTCTGATGGACTACCACAGACTCGAATTACCAAGGGGTGTTATAAAGCTTCATAGTGATCTGAGATCCTTGTTTCTGTGTCATATTATTAATCCTTCTTGTAGTTTTTTCCCTATTGTTCAATAGTGTGTTTTGATAATGTTGACAACACTCCTTTAATATCTCATACACTTGAACTTCCTTTTACGATTGCCATAACATACACAAACGTTTTCACGATCTTTCATGCAAATAAACACAAAATAAACACACTCATTCTGTCAGGATCTCTTTTGCATAATCATGGCTCATCCAAAGAGGCCTTATTACAGTCTAAATATTTATTTCAATTTCAAGGCAATTTTTGTAAAATGATAAAGTTAGACTGATGTTAAAACTATCTCAGCAAAACCTTAGGTTTGAAATATTTTTTTAAAAAACCACAGACCAGAAGGCAGGGAGTTACACGCATCACATCCTCCTTTGACAATTATCTTAAAACACATGAAAGAGTCCAC